TAAGTGTCTTACATTCCAGGGGTGGGTTTCTCTCCCCGTCCCAACCGCTTCGGTTGGAACGGGGCCGGCGGCATCCTCATGCACGCGCGCAGTGCACGCATGCGTACTAGCGCCTGTGCGATGCTCCAGCTGCTCCTGGAGGATCGTGCAGGCGCTGTATGCGTTTTGCGCATGCGGGGAAGCGCAGAACTCATCAAAACTGGGTAAGAAATGTGGGCGGGCGGGTGGATCCTTCGGCGTTCCCGGAAGTTACTTACTTCCGGGTTCGCCGACCAACCGGTTCGCGAGGACCGTCACAAACCACCTGAAACCCACCCCTGTTACATTCCCACCAGAAGAATACCAAACGATATCTTTAAATGTCCTCTAAAAACATTTTTACAGGCCTGATTCAAAATAGTGTCTCAAGAGATGATAGCTTTCTGGCTCATTGTTGGCCTTCAAACTATGGAACTAGAGGTTCTCCAGCCAGATATGTTTCTATTCTCCCAATCTTTTAAACAGTACCTGTTTATTAGTTTCGTAAATGTGATTTTTAATTCATCTAATTTCTGCTCCAACTCCTTTAATGGCTGCTTACATAAGTTATGGTATTGCTATGTCGTGCTGCTGTTTAAATGTTTTTAATTATTGGGTTTAAAAATGTTTGCAATCCTTCTTTGGAAGACACAAAACAGTTGGATACATCTTCCTATTCTGGCCTAATGGAAAAAGAAGCCTTGTGCCCCAATATTTAGGCGAGTTTCCTAAACTATATTCTGTGGTTCCTGCATTTACCTCCTTAAACTATCTAGAACAGGGGTGTCAAACTCACATAACCACAGCAGTGTCACTTGACATATCACAACTTTCCCCCCTTCGCTAAAATGGGTGTGGGTGTGGCCAGCGTATCATGCATCCAGCCCACGGGGCACGAGTTTGACAGTCTTCATCAAGACTATTGTCTGATACTCTTGCTTGCTATCATTTTCTTTATCATTCTGGATGATGAAATGATTTATTAAACACACGTATGTGCCTGCAGTGTGTAGGTTTTTCAGCTTTACTCTGCCTAGCTCATTGCGATTTGGAGACTAGATTCAAATGACCTCTTCTGATATTGGAAAAAGTTCTAAGCTCATTTGAAAAGCTTTTCCCTGGATTGATGCTGCCAACTTTATTCTTTTGTTTTCTATTTTTATATTATTACTGTGGGTTTTGCTTAATGTTGCATATTATTATTGTTTCTACTTAAGACTGACAGGTTATTAGACTACTAGATTATTTGACCTATTACTTATTCTTTGGTGGGCAATGGTAGGATTCAAATAATTTAACAACTGGTTCTCTGCCCTAATGATTTCTTCCAACAACCAGTTCATCAAACTGTTCAGGAAATTAACAACCGGTTCTCCCAAAGTGGTGAGAACTGGCACCACTAGACATACAATTAATTAATCAATAATATCTAAAAAAGGAAAGTTTTAAAAAGCAGATCAATAAGGAAATAGAACAAATCAACATTAACTGATGATAATTCTGGAATAGATTTAGTGAGTGGCCAGATTTTTCCATTTTAGTACTTAGTTTCTGATATCTTTCTTCATATCAATGAATTATTGTTTGTTTGCTAGGAATGTATGCTGTTCTGGTCACAAAGGACTCACTTCTCATAACCATTCAACTCAAGGGTTTTTAGAAAACACTCTTTTCATAGGACTCTTTAAGGATTGTGTGTTTAAAGGCCAACAAAGACATTTTTGTTAATGTATTCCCTGCCTGGTGTACAATATTTTCATGGTTACTAACAATACTTTTATTTAGCATTAACAAGGTAAAGATTCTTCTGACAAATTTATTTCTCCTTTAACAAAAAGCTACAGGCCTTCTCACTTGAAAATGGTGTTTCTTCCATGTTTACAATGGATACGATTATTTTCATAGAAGAATTGGGCTAAAATTATAATGGGTGGTCCATAGAGTAAAGACTTACTCTTGGGTATACTCAAAGCTAATCCTCCCTGCCTTGCAAAGCAACATACACTATATTGCCAAAAGTATTCGCTCACCTGCCTTTACTCACATATGAACTTACTGTAAGTGACATCCCATTCCTAATACATAGGGTTCAATATGACATCGGTTTACCCTTTGCAGCTAAAACAGCTTCAACTCTCCTGGGAAGGCTGTCC